CTACTCTAACTTGTTCAGATATGGAGGTCCATAGATTTATCTATTAATTTTTATTTTAACATGTTTAAAAATATTTAATTATTTTTAAAGGATAACACAGTCGGATGTTTATAAACAATTCCTGCTCCTGTCTTTACCCCTTGCCATCCTATTTCTCTTATCACAACCATTATTACTTCTTGGGCATCCTTCCAGAGATATTTTATGCACATATAAACAAATACAAATGTATCTGCTTTCTTCCTTTTCTATACAAATGATTATATGCTAATACAATGTTTTTTGCCTAATTTAAAAAACTTTCCTAATTTTAAAAAACTACCTAATATATTTTCGTGATCACACCATGTTGAAGAGAGCTACCTTGTTCTATTTTTTAACATTTGCTCATTATTCCATTATGCATAATTATCTATCTATCTATCTATCTATCTATCTATCTATCTATCTATCATCTATCTACCTATCTATCATCTATCTGGCAGACCTTTAAATTATTTGCAATATTTTGTTATTTCAAAATCCCTATAATAAATAGCTTTGTATAGACATCATTTCCACATGTGTGTGAGTATATCTTTAGAATAAATTCCTAGAATTTGCCATCCTGGTTTGTTGTAAAGACTAAAAGTGTAAAAGTTGATTTACTTTCCCACTTCTGGAAGTTAAAAGTTCATTGTAAATTGTGTCTTCACCTGGAGTTTTAGTTCATGTTTCATACCTGTCCAAGCCCAATGATTTAGGGCCCGATAAAATAAGAGGAGAGTTAGATAAAAGTAGTAATCCTACTGAGAATTTACAGATTATCATAAAATATTAGTATACTTCAGTCTACAGATAAGAATTTCCAGGGACAGGTCATTATTATGATGATATTTGGAGAGGAATTATTGAAACGTTTTACAGGGTAAACGATTTTAGAAAGTGGAAAGAAAGGGGCGTAAAAGATGGACTTGGGGCTAAGGAAGATGGTGTACCAAGTCCCTGAGTTTGGAAAGAGAATAGCAACAAGAAATGGAGGAAGGACAATCTGCTGAAGACAGAGCATAAGTGGAGGATGCTTGCAAAGTGCCCAGTGTCGTGCCCACACAGAGTGGGTACTAAAACTTCCTACTGGTACATGACCTAGGAAATGCCGGTGTCACATAATGAATTATTGATAAATTAATCACTATTTGTTCTTTCCCTTTGATGGCCACTACCCTTCTCATTTCAAGTACAAAGAAAGCGAGGACATCCTCAGTGATTTCTGTGGCAAACTTGGCAAGAAGAAGCTGCCAAAAGGCTAGTGGAAGCTGCTCCTTCTATTTTTAAGGGTGCCTAAGCAGCCTGAAGAGGTCATGCAAGCTGTCCCAGAGAGGGAAGAGACAGAGGAGAAGGTAGACTCCCCAACTAGAAGCTGTCAAGTCCTGGAGTGATGGAGGTCCCCATCCTGAACTGTGGAGGTGCCCTTGACAGCAAGATCTCTTGTGTGTAACACACAGGGAGGCTATACCCAATGCGCTGGGACTCTTGGCCTTGACAAATTTTATTTTGCATGAAATTGGAAGAATTGCTGGATTTGAATCACCCAAGTGGCTTGGGCAGTAGGAGTCTTGTGGCAACCACCATGAACTGACAGCTTTGATAGAATGACATCTTTGAAAATTTGGCCTGAGGAAGATTCTATAATAGAACCATTGCCCTCCTTGAGAAGAGAGAATTGCCATGAGAAGAGAGACTAAATTTCTTACTACTTTGGTGAGGGGAGCTCAGAGTTGGATTTCAGTGGTTCTGAAGAAAATTTAATATTGTGAAATATGCACAACTGAGTGTATGGATTGAAATTCCTAACCCACCGTACAAATATGCATTAACTACTGTGCAATGTTGCACTGATGCCAAGACAAGAAAGATGACTGTATTCCTCATATTTTAAAGGCAAAAGATATTAATGGCAACATTATTTTCTCCTCAGAGGAAAAGAGGAACAGCAATTTATTATTTTCAGCATGTTCTTCTGCTTTATGTTTTTCATTTTAAATATAATACTAATTACTTGAAACTCCCCCTCCTGTTCCCATTTCCCTCAATCTCTCATTTGTTTA